TTTCCTTCCTGTTCTTGTTTATTCATTAATTCATTCAGGCATTCAGTTATCTGACAAATATTAAATAGCATTTACATTGGGATCTGGGTATGTGGGATACATCAACGGGTCCTTCCAAGCCACCCTGCCTCCAAGCCTCTTCTTTCTCTCTCCCCCTCCTTTCTTGCACACACACACACACACACACCCTCACTTGTGCACACTCTGTAATTTCTTTCTCTTGGCTTAATGATCACAGTAGAGAATAGTAATTGTCATAAGTATAAGAGATACTCTGTCAACCAAAACTCCCCCTGGCCTGGTAAAACTCTCCTCTGTGTTTTTAAAACTATCTGCTCTCCTGACTCCAGGCAGTTCTCACAGTTCATAAGTGCCCCCTGCTCTTCTCTGAGACTGTTTCAGGGTAACTCTTGCCTTTCAGAGGGTTGTGCTTTGCTTCATGAATGGGAGAGAGTTTAGTCTCCATCCTCCATGTCCACTGACCTGCAGTATTCTGGCTCCTATTCAGAATCACAGAAGTACTTCTTACAGCTCAGGCCCAACTCTTAATAGATTACCTGTCTCTGAGATTGAAAGAAACACCATCCACCTTGAGACAATAGATCCTTTTTTTCTTATGAGAAGTTCCTTTGAGGAGACACAGTATGAAGCACTAGCAGGGCACTGAGCTTGGTCATCCGAAAGAACTGAGTTAGGTTTTTGAATGATTTTACCTTTCTGAGACTCAATTTATAGCATCACTGGAATGGAGATAGTCAGGCCTTCCCAATAGGCTTATTACTAGCATTCAATAAGATAGGATGGGTAAAACCCTTGAAATATAACACAGTAGGTGTGTAGTGGCTATTCTAACCCTTCTTTGGCTTCAACCAAAGTTGAAGTGCATGCTTGTGGACAAATGTTGAGATCTCAAGCCTCCAAAGGCAACCAAAGGCAGAATTCACAAACAGAATTTAATAATTAGTTTCTTTTTCTATTTCCTTGAACTAGTAGTTCATTAATGCTCCTTGCAAGCTAGATGTTACACCTCCTTGTGGGTCAAATTACAAATGCTATTTATCTATGGGAAATTCCGCATTTAATTAATAATTAATGAAACTAGAATTTTTTTTTCATGGTTTTCCATTTGAAAGTTGCACTTGTACAAATAGCCATGTATCCTTAAGCTGGTAACCTATGTTCTTTGACTCTCAGTTTTCCCAACTAATTATATATGTCATAAAAATATGATGAAGAATGAATGAGAAAAATGGACATACAGCACAATTTTTTTCAAGGTTATTTCCATGGTCTTTAAAATGAAAGAAAATTAAAACTCTCCCTGCCTACCATCAGTTAGTGTTCAGGAAAAAAATAAATAAAAACAAACAAACAAAAGAAAATTAAAAAAAACAAAAAAAAGTTAGCTGTTAAATAAAGAAACATTCATTATTAATTTTATTACTCCAACTACTGTAAACTGTGTAGGAATCTGAGCTGCAAAGCTGCCCATTAAACTGTCTGCTCTTTCCTGTTTAAACAAGGCCCCTCTTGGGTCGTGGCTGCCTGAGCCTTCATGAGTCTGAATCCAGGAAGGAAGACGTTTCTACGGTAACCGCTGAGGCCTTCTCTGGAGGTTCTCTGGGAGAGGCCAGGGTCTGGTGCAAGTGACAAACCCCAGTTCCCTTGATAATGCACAGAGAGGTAGCAGCCATGATGTCCAGGCACGAGCAGAATGAGAGCATTCAGGCGTGAAATCCCTTTCAATCGCTCGTTTGTTTCCCATGATGGAGAATTCACTTTGTGCAGCTCTTGAAAAATGGTCGATCTAGGCTCAGTGATGTATAAATAATAAACGTTCCAGAAGGAAAGATATTTCTGTGACTTGGGAAAGGGGCTATTGACATCCCATTATCATCGGGCTCAAGGTTTTAGATCATAAAGAAGAGTCCAGTAGCCTTATTTTATAAACTGTGAAATAGATCATCAGAAGGGAGTAGGAGGAGATGGGTTAAAGTCATATAGTAAGGAGGTCGGTAACAAGAAACCTAAGCTCCTGGTGAATAAGGTTTGTGTTGTACAATCGTGACTGTCACCATAAAGTGTGGTAAGTGGTCAGAGAGAAAGCTGGACCAGAAGCAGTGGGAATATGAAAAGGGGATACCCGAGGTGACCAGATACAAAGAAGAGATAGACCTTGAGCTGAGACTTGAAGAATGAGTAAAAGTTGCTGTCATTTATTTATGTAGCATAATGAAGGAGAAAGGGGTGACGGAAGATGAGATGATTGTCTGGTATCACAGACTCCATTTGCTTGAGTTTGAGCAAACTCCGGGAGACAGCAAAAGACAGGGAAGCCTGGCTTGTTGCAGTCCACAGAGTTGAAAAGAGTCAGACATGACTGAGCAACTCAACAACAACAACAATGTAGCATCTGGGCTTCCCCAGTGACTCAGAGGGTAAAGACTCTGCCTGCCAGTGCAGAAGGTGCAAGGAGACAGAGGTTCAATCCCTGGGTCAGGAAGATGCCCTGGAGAAGGATATGGTAACCCAATCCAGTATTCTTTCCTAGAGAATCCCGTGGACACACGACCCTGACAGGCTGCAGTCCATAGGGCCACAAAGAGTTGGAACCAACTTAAGTGACTTAGCATGCATGCATGTAGCATTTATGTATGACAATGTGCTAGACACTTTCTATGCATCATCTCATTTAATCTTCACAAGAGCCCTCTTGTGTGGGCACCATTAATGGTCACTGTTTTTAAGATGAAGGAAATAGGCCTAAAGAGGTTAGTTACTTTCCCACGCAGCTAGTAGATGGCAGAATTAAGATTCAAATTCAGGTCAATCTAATTCCTACACCCAGCTCTTTGACTATTGGCATACTGCCTTCCATAGATAAGTGTGAGAATCTAACATGTGGGTAAGTTGGGGATAGTGTTCTGGGCAGGAAAAAAAACCAGCACAGGCAAAAGCACAAAGTTACAATGTGTGTTCGATCTGGTACTTATCAATGCTTAGTGGCACTACCAATCTTCCACAGCCTTGTCTAAGGATAGGTGAGCCTCAGTGTTGCTTCTGACTCCTAACAGCCTGGCCCTGGCCATAGTGAGACCATGTGATGCTTACCCAATAATAAACATCCACACACAATTGGTGGTCTGGATAAAGCCCCTACATCTTCCATAGAAGTCAGAATGGTAAAAAATCTATTAAGAACCACTTTCTCTTTTACAACTCACTTTTATAGCCTGTGGATTTCTAGAAGTTCTCATCATTTGGGTCTCCCTTTATTCTGGACGCTCAGAGTAGAAACAATTTCCATCTCAGCTTCTTTCCACGGGGACATGCTGACCCGTGGTGTTTAGAGTCAAAGTAGTTCCAGTTCAGTAAAACGGCTTTCATGGAAAATCCATGGTGGAGCTTGGTGGAAAAAGTGCCTGCCCATGCCAAACACAGTAAAAAATAAAGAAAGTTATCCAAATGTCAAGGCCAAACTGGCCACGTAGCAATAGGAGCTATCCAGGTCCTAAGAGCCAACATTAAGTGCTTGCTCTGCAGGTACTCTTTAAATACATATTTATTTTTAATTGAAGGATAACTGCTTTACAATATTGTGTTGGCTTCTGCCACACATCAGTATGAATCAGCCATAGGCATACATACGCCACTTTTTCCCTGAACCTCCCTCCCATGTCCCATCCCTCTAGTTTGTCACAGAGCACTGGTTTGAGTTCCCTGGATCATGCAGCAAATTCCCACTGGCTTTCTATTGTACGTATGGTAGTGTATATGTCTTTATATACCCTCTCATTCATCACACTCCCTCCTCCTAACCACTCCCACCATGTCCACAAGTCTGTTCTCTTTGTCTGTGTCTCCATTGTCGCCCTTCTGCAGGTACTCTTGGTATATAGATTCTTATTCTCTCCACAATCCCTCTTTGCCCCTGTACAGAGGAAGGATCTGAGTCTCAGAAATGTTTGGTTGCTTTTCAGAGATCATATAGAATATTCCTATCCAGGACTCTCTGAGCCCCAACCCTCCACTTTTTACACATCACTCCAAAATCATCAATCTAGTAGCTGAATGGAATTATCATAATTTTGCCACTATTTTGCTCTGGGTTCCACTATTTTGCTTTGGATGTCCACTGGCTAGCATATATGCTGATGCTTTGGCAAGAAAGTACCTTCTGTGTCCCAGGTTCTCTGCTGGGTCCAGAGCATTTGGAGATTGCTTCATTAGTTAGTTAGTCAGTCACTGAATATTTGCAAGGGCCAATTACATGTAAAGTGCTGAGGCTAAAAGGGCGAGCAAAAAGCAGAGACAGACCTTCATGAAATACCCTCACACTGTAGCATGCGCCATGAAGAAGCGGCACGAGAAGCCGTGAGTAGATGAAATGAGTGGGGGGCAGGAGTTGGTGCTTCCATTAAAGTCAGAGGAGTCCCCAGAGAGGTTCCTGGGCAAGGTGGGGTAATGGTGCGGGTGAGGGAGAGAAGCTGGAAGGACTGATGAAAACCAAGAGGAATAAGGACGAGTAAAGCAGGCAACTATAGGAGAGAGGTTCAGTATTATAGTCAAGTAAGTCATGAAGCTGGAAGCAGAAAGGAAGTGGAGTTCACCTGTCTGAGGGCAGGGGTATCTGGAGAACACTTTCAGGAGGTAGTGATGTCTAAACTGAGAACTGAGGCTGCACCAGAATCCAACAGAGAAGGGGCTGTTTGGTACATGCAGAGGAAACAGAACACACACAAATCCAAAGACAAGAGAGCATGAGATTTGTCTGAGGAACTGCAAGTGCTTGTATGTGTCGTGGGGACTAAGAGAACAAAGATATGCCCAGGATGAGGAAGGATGCTAAAGCGAGCAGCACTGGTGCTTAATAAAAATAGTACTGAGGAGCATTATTCTGAGGGCAAATGTGCAGTCAGAGTACAGGTTGTGTGCTGTGGATATTAACAAGGTAGATGCCAGCATTATTAAAGGGGAGAGAAATGGGGAAGAGGAAAGGAGTCAGAAAAGGAACTGATGTTTATTGAGCACCTACTAGCTGCCAGATACAGTCAGGTAGAGCTCCATTCTATAGATGCACCAGAAGGTGAAGCAAATTGGCTGTGGGAACATTCATGCTTCATTCTTCTTCACTGACTCCCAGGACTGTCTTGTTTGTCTATTTCCAAGGGCTTCCCCGTCCCTCCAGGATGTTACCCAAGAGGGTGATGAAGATTGGCATGAGCCAGGACTCTTATCTGTAAATGACAAGAATCAAAATTCAACTAGCTTAGGTAAATGAGACACAGTAGCTATGTCTTAATTAAGGAAATAAATAAGGAAGTGTTTAGCACTAGGGCATAAGAGGGGCAGGAGTTCACCTGGGTCTCAGAAACTATTATTTTCACTAGGGCCCTCTGTCTCTCCTCTGTAACTCTCTAACCAGAAGCTTTATTCTCTCTTACTACCAACGATTTCCTTCTTCCATATTAGCAGGAGCTTGGTCACCCATCGTCCTAGGGCTTTCCGCTACAGAAAGACACGCTCTCTGTTTTAGTTTTTAAATTTAGGGAAAGATCTCTGATTGGCCCGGTGTAGATGGTGTCCACTCATGAATCAATCAGCCACAACCAGGAACACAAACATGGCTACCAAGGGATCACCCCTGTGACTTGGGGGTCATCCTCCCAAACTCTGGGTGCATCAAGAAGCCATTCTGAAGAGGATCTACTAAAGTCATAGCAATGTTTGCCATTAATGGGATAGTTAAGACATGGCAGGCTCTGAGCATTGTTCACATTGTTCTTTGATAACCTTATTTGATCTTCCCAACAGCCATGAGAAGCAAGGATATCTAATTTGTATACCGGAAAGCTGAAGCTCAGAGAGGCCTATTGATTTGTTCAATGTCCCACAGCTAGGAAGTGGTTGGAGCAAAATTTGAATCCTGGACTGACTCCAAATCCATGCCTTTAACTCTCAACCTAATTACACCTACTTTGGCTTCCTTGGGAACTGAAGTGAAGGTGGTAAAATCCAGGAGTCCTGGGATCCATCTCTGCACTGTAGAGCTGTGTGGCCTTGGACAAAACCCCTAAGCTCTCCAGTTTTATTGTGTTCAAAATAAGGATAACATTTACTGCTCACTTACTTTTTAATAGTAAGATTAAGTGAGACTGAAAGTGAAACAGCTGAGAGAAGAACTTCATGCTGATAAAGGTGAAATTTCATTATCATTTTATTCCTCCAAATTCCAGTATGCCATGGTTTTGAAATGTCCTATAAAGCAAAATCTATTCTTTGAAATAAGAATATGTTTGTGAAGAGCTAATAGACAGACCTGAATATTTTACACTATTTTTTTTTAATAACTCCAGGTTGACAGACTTTAACTGAGGAAACAAAAATAGAATTAATTTATCCTGGATCCAAATGTTAGGCTCTCTTGATTTTTTTCAAAACAGACATTAATTTTATTCCTCTGGATTCCTTCTGTTCTTGCTGACACCACCTGGTTTCTGCTTACTTTTTCTTTTCACCTGTTTCTGTGACATGAGATTATAATTGGTTTCTGCTGAACTTTCTCTTGCTGTGATGTACTGGTTAACAAAGAAAATGAAATCTTCTTTTCATTTAGGCAATGAGTTCTGCCCCACTGCCATGCCTCAGATGACAGTCCTTTAAGGAACTATGGTTCTGTGGAATAATTTCCATCCTTAGGAAATAACTGCAAGGTTCTATCGGAAGCCTTTGTCAGCCAACATTCTCTTTATGGCCCATCAGCTGCAAATTTGCCCAAACTAGGAACTGTGGCATAATCCTCCTACTCCTAAACCCACTCATGAAGTCAGGCTCTCGGTTGGGTGATGGACTTCCCCAGCCCGCCTCCTGTCTGGGTCCCTTTCCACTCTGTCACAGCGTCAGCCCAGGCCTTCACACTTCCACCATGGGACTGTTTAAAAAGCCTCCTAAACAGTCATTCACCTCCACAATGGTGGCAGGGTGATCTTCATAAAACAGAAATTCTGCCCACATCAGCCCTGCTGATCACCTTTCTGTGGCTTCCTATTTGCTAGATAATATGGTCCTCCATGGGTTTACCTGGTGGCTCAGATGATAAAGAATCTGCCTGCAGTGCAGACCTGGGTTCAATCCCTGGGTTAGGAAGATCCCTTGGAGAAGGGAATGGCTAGCCACTCCAGTATTCTTGCCTGGAGAATTCCATAGACAGAGGACCCTGGCAGGCTACAGTCCATGGGGTCTCAGAGTCAGACATGATTAAGCAACTAACACTTTTACTTTCTTAAGGTCCTCTGTAACTTGACCCCTGCACATCCTTCTAGCAGCATCTCATTGCCACCCTGGCCTACCACACCGTCAGGATCCACCTTACTCATCATGACAATGATACTTACTAACACTTCTGTCTTTTATTGCAGTCTGTAGAACAATTTTTCACAAATTCTCAGAAATATCCTACAAGATATTTTATACTTTTATTATACTCAGATTCAGACACTTACAGAATCTGTCCAGGATCACACAACTGATCTCACAGGTGGCAAACGAGACCCAAACCCAGGTCCATCTGATTCCCAAACTCTTTGTACTCTGCCACATGAACATTCTGAAATACTGGCAGTTCTCCGAATGAGCCATGCCCTTTATACCCTACCATCATCTTTGCAATCACTCTTCCTGCAGCCTTTAATACTCTTCCCTTTCTTTGACTGGCTGGCTGACTGCTACTCATGCCATAAGGTTGTCTCAAATATTGCATAGGGCTTCCCTTGTGGCCTAGCTGGTAAAGAATCTGCCTGCAATGCAGGAGAACTGGATTTGATCCCTGGGTTGGGAAGATCCTCTGGAGAAGGGAAAGGCTACCCACTCCAATATTCTGGCCTAGAGAATTCCATGGACTGTGTAGTCCATGGGGTCGCAATGAGTCTGACACGGATGAGCGACTTTCACTTTCACGTCACATTGGGGTGAAACTCTGACCAATAGCAGATAAAGAAAGAAATAGGACCAGACTGGAAACCAGGAAACTAGGTGAGTCTCTGCAGCTCTGTTCACAAGGTTCCTTGTATAAAATCTGTATAATAACTCTGCCTGTCACCTGGAGTTTCGAGGAGGATCAAATGGGACTTTATATTTGAAACCACTTCGCAAACTATCAAGCCCCATATAAATATGTTATTAATTGTTATGTTAATTAAATAATTAAATCTCAGGTATAATAATGAACCTTAAAAATAACTTAATGGCTATTAATCAAAATGCAGGCTGAGAGTAATTACACTAATTAAAATTGTCAGTAATAATGATAATTGGCCCTGATACTGAGAAGTGGTCCATGGGGCGTGGATTCACATGAAACTGGGAAGTAAATAACACAAGTGAGAGTTGGCAAAGGGACCCAGAAGAAGGCTAATGACAAAACAAGCAGATGAGCCACACTATTCCTGGCTGAGAGTATTGCCATGCTAAGGGAAAAGGTATTGACAAACACCAAAACCACCTAGTGTTTTATGAGTATCTGGCTTGCAATGGTGCATATAGTTGTCTGTCTGTGTACATCTCTGGGTGGTAACACCTTCATATCTAGCTTTACCACATTAAACTACATGTGAGTCCATCATCATGCTGTTCCCTAATACCATCTACTCGTCAATCCTAAAGGAAATCAACCCTGAATATTCATTGGCTGAAGCTGAAGCTCCAATGCTTTGGCCACCTGATGCAAAGAGCCGACTCATTGAAAACAACCCTGAGGCTGGGAAAGATTGAAGGCAGGAGGAGAAGGAAATGACAGAGGATGAGATGGTTCGATGGCATCACCGACTCAATGAACAAGAGTTTAAGCAAACTCTGGGAGATGGTGGAGGACAGCAAAGCTTGGTGTGCTGCAGTCCATGGGGTCGCAAAGAGTCGGACACAACTGAGCAACTGAACAACAACAATCACATCACCATGTCTCCTGACAAATCCAAGATTCTTCATGGCCTGGCTCATGGCCTCTTGCATGAAGACTTTCTGGATTTTTCCTGGGATCCTAGGGATGTTTTTCTGATCTCCTTCCCCTCTGTAAGCCTACCCTTGGAACTTACAGTCCCAGTCCATCACTTACTAGCCGAGTTTCAAGATGTTACTTAACACCTCTTTTATATTAACTAAATGAGGATAATAGCAGCAATGACCAGACAGGATTGTTTTGATAATTAACTAAGGTGTCTAAGTCTTTTAGAACAGGATTAGACACATAGTACTCCTTTACTGTTCATCATTATTGATACCATTATTGTTGTTGCAATTATTTGTCTCTATATCCATCACTCTGCCAGACTATGAGCTCCTTCTCTTTGTGGCCTTTCTTCCTGGACTTACTGCATAATAGCTGCCCCTTTCAATGTTGATGTTACAATGGTAATGGATGAAGGATATTCTTCAGGAAACTGTGGACAAGACTAAGGGCAGTGAGCTGGAAAATTCATTGACCATGAAATCATATTTGATTTAAATCTTGGCTCTGACACTTGTTGAGACTTCAGTTTTGTGTCTAAGTCACTTCCCCTTCTAGACTCAGTTTTTTCATCTGGAAAATAGAACCAATAATCTCTGGCCTATTTCCTTCCATCATGGGGTTGGAATAAGGACACAGATGCGAAACCACTTTGTAAACTGAAAGGCACTAACCAAATATAAAATACTTTTACTGTTATTAGAACCATCTGGAAGTTGTTTGGACTTACAAATTGATAGAATCAGTCAGCACCTACTTGACTTACACAAAAAGCAGTTGTTATGCTTGGGTATTTTTTAAGCCCTTAACCCTATGGATATTCCAAGTCTTTTCTCCAAATTCACGCCCAATTTGAGAATGTTCAAGTTTATTTTCCCAAAGACTGAGTAACAATAGGAATTCAAAATATAGTTAAGGCTGAAACTTCACTCAAGATTTCAGTTTCTATTTCCCTTAAGGAAGTTTCTAGAGTCCTAGCTCATAAATGAGTTATTAAATGCAGCTCAATTCACAGGGCTTATCAAGGTAAGGGGAAGCTCAACCTTAGAGAGGTTGCTTTTAGGTAATGGGGAGTTTAAGATGGAGAGTAACTTGCAAGAAAGAACCATATAGATGGTAAGAACGCTGGACTAGGAGTCAGAAATCCTAAATTCTGACCTAGCTCTAGTCTTCTAGTTTGAACATCTTCCTTACCTGGGCTTTAGTTTTCTCAGTAAAATGTGGATAATCTCTCCTGGTTTCATTAACCTTTGCCATAGAGCAAATCACCTCAAAATTCAGTGATGTAGAAGAGCAAGAGGTTGTTTTCCACAATTCTGTGGGCTGGTGGGTAGTTCTGTTCATCTTTCTGGGCCCACTCAAGGAGTAGCATTCAGTTGAGGAGCCGGCTGGGACTTGGGCCCCATGGACACAGTTAGGACTCTAAGCCTCTCTTTCTGTACAGGGTCTTGCATACTTAAGGTGCTAGACTGGGCCTCCTTATATGCCAATGCTGTTCCAGGGGAAGAGAAGTGGGATTGTCGGGGTGCTTAAAGCATTGCCTCACACAGAGTCACTCTCCTCATATTCTATTGGTCAAAACAAGTTACAGGGTCTGCCCAGACTCAAGGATTGGAGAAGCAGACTAGACCCTTTGATGGGATGAAGGCAAAGTCAAATTACAAAAAGGGACATTGTTACCGAAAGGCATGATTCATGGGGATTCATGGATGTGGGGGCGGGGAGTTTTTTGTACCAATCTAACACACATCTGACCTGCCTCCAGGGCTATTTGCAAACATCTAAGCTAATATAATTAGAGACATTTTGTAAAGGATAAAGTGTTATGTCATACAGATGCAAGAGCATTCAACTTTTGTTCTACTATTTGTATTCATATAAGTTAGCTGATTTCAAGATGGTCTGGATTAAGTTTTCTGATTTTGATTCCCTGTTAGTTAAGAAAAGTGTATGAGAATATAAGGAGAAGTGTCCCAGACAGGTGATACAATATCATCGTTCTGCAATCCATCATGAATTAATGGATGCGGACTTCAAGCATCCGTGGCTTTTCACACTACAAAACCCAAGACAATTTGATCTTATATGTCTACTGAGGAGGAATGGATTACCTAGGAAGCTCTCTTGCTAAATTAAAAAAAAAATGATCCTTGATCTGATCAGGACTTTAGTTCAACTATCAATTTCCAGGAAACACGGAAGACAAAGGGAATGTTAAGCCATACCACAGAAGTGCCATCCACAAATTCAGACTAGGAAAAACCACAATACAAAAACAACCTGGTTTTCTCAATAAATAAATTATGAAGTTGGAAAAAAGAGGTGGGGAAGAAGCATGTGCATTAAGAGAGACCAATAACAATGTATGGAATTTATTTGGATCCTGATTCAAATAAACTAAAAATTATGACATTTTTATCCTTTGGGAAATGTATAAACTGACAGGATAATGAAATTAAAATATTAAAGCTATGTTTAGATGTGAACTGTTATTATAGTTATGTATTTTAAAAAGACTCCTTAGACTTTAGGGTACATATTGAAATATTTTCTTGTGATTTGATATCACGTGTGTGTGTATGCATGCTCAGATGCTCAGTCATGTGCAATTCTTTGCAATTTGTTGGACTGTAGCTCACCAGGCTTCCCCGGCCATGTGATTTTCCCAGCAAGAATACTGGAGTGGGTTGCCATTTCCTCCTCCAGGGATATTCCTGACCCAGGGATCAAACATGTGTCTCCTGTTTTTCCTGTATTGGAAGTGGATTCTTTACCACTAAGCCACCTGGGAAGCCTGAACTGATATTATAGCTAAGATTTACTAATACAGAATGGGAATAAATGGGTGGGGCTAGACATGAAACAAAAATATCCATGAGTTGATAACTGTCTAATCTAGGTGATAAGTACACAGGCATTGATTATTTATTCAGTAAGGCTACTTTAGTATATGTTTGAAATTCTTCATAATTTTTTTTTAAATAGTTAGACAAGAAGTCAGACAGCCCTAGGTTCAACTAGCACACCCCATATCTCTTCTCTTTAACCATATGTTCTGTGGAAATTCACTTTTCTGAGCTTCCATTTCCCTAAAAATAATGTAGAAATAATCTCCTTTCATTATTTCCAAATGATGCTCTAAGGGCCAAATGTGTCCATGAAGGTGAAAACACTTTCTAAACCATGAAAGGCTATAAATATGCTCAGAACCATTTTTGTTATTATCACTATTGACCTGAAAATAGTTTAGATCTTCTGGGCTCTGTCTTTCCCTTAGTAACAGTATCTCTTCATCCTTGGTCTGTTCACATGTGAAATTAACCACAGATGATTCATAAAGCTTTTGGGGCAGTGGTTATGAATTTGACAAAGGGTCTAAAGATAATTTTTTAAATGTCATATTTTGCCTTTATCTCAAATCCAAGTGCGAAGAATTTCTGCTACTGGGTGAAATAACAGGGACTGTATTTGCTCTCCTGCTGGGTACAACCAAGAAATAGACTATATGTATGTTATTCACAAGAGATGGCAAGAATACACAGAAGAACTATACAAAAAAGATCCTCATGACCCAGATAATCATAATGGTGTGATCACTCGTCTAGAGGTAGACATCCTGGGGTATCAAGTCAAGTGGGCCTTAGGAAGCATTACTATGAACAAAACTAGTGGAGGTGATGGTATTCCAGTTGAGCTACTTCAAATCCCAAAAGATGATGTTCTGAAAGTGCTGCATTCAATATGCCAGCAAATGTGGAAAACTCAGCAGTGGCCATGGGAATGGAAAAGGTCAGCTTTCATTCCAATCCCAAAGAAAGGCAACACCAAAGAATGTTCAAACTACCACAAAATTGCACTCATCTCACACGCCAGCAAAGTAATGCTGAAAATTCTCCAAGCTAGGCTTCAACAGTACATGAACTGAGAACTTCCAGATGTTCAAGCTGAATTTAGAAAAGCCGGAGGAATCAGAGATCAAATTGCCAATATCCATTGGATCATAGAAAAAGCAAGAGAATTCCAGAAAAACATTTACTTCTGCTTCATCGACTATGTCAAAACCTTTTACTGTGTGGATCACAACAAACTGTGGAAAATTCTTTGAGAGATGGGAATACCAGACCCCCTTACCTGCCTAGTGAGAAACATATGCAGGTCAAGAAGCAACAGTTAGAACCAGACATGGAACAGTAGACTGGTTCCAAATTGGGGAAGGAGTATACGTCAAGGCTATATATTGTCACCCTGCTTATTTAACTTATATGCAGAATATATCTTGCAAAATGCCAGGCTGGATGATGCACAAGCTGGAATCAAGATTGCCAGGAGAAATATCAATAACCTCAGTTACACAGATGACGCCACTCTTATGGCAGAAAGTGAAGAGGAATTAAAGAGCCTCTTGATGAAAGTGAAAGAGGAGAGTGGAAAAGCTGGCTTAAAACTCCACATTCAAAAAATGAAGATCTTGGCTTCCAGTCCCCCTCACTTCATGGGAAATAGATGGGGGGACAATGGAAACAGTGAGAGACTTTATTTTGAGGGCTCCAAAATCACTTCAGATGGTGACTGCAGCCATGAAATTAAAAGATGCTTGCTTCTTGTTAGAAAAGCTATGACCAATCTAGACAGCATTTTAAAAAGCAGAGACATTACTTTGCCTACAAAGGTCCATATAGTCAAAGCTATGATTTTTCCAGTAGTCATGTATGGATACATGAGTTGGACCATAAAGAAGGTTGAGCACCAATGAATTGATGCTTTTGAACTGTGGTGTTGGAGAAGATTCTTGACAGTCCCTTGGACTGCAAGGAGATCGAACCAGTCAATCCTAAAGGAGATTAATCCTGAATATTCACTGGAAGAATTGATGTTGAAGTTCCAGTACTTTGACCATCTGATGTGAAGAGCTGACTCATTTGAAAAGACCCTGATGCTGGGAAAGATTGAAGGCAGGAGGAGTAGGGGATGACAAGGACAGAGGACAAGATGGTTGGACGGCATCACCCACTCAATGGACACGAGTTTGAGCAAGCTCCAGGAGACGGTGAAGGACGGGGAAGCCTGGTGTGCTACAGTCCATCGGGTCTCAAAGAGTCAGACATGACTGAGTGACTTAACAACAGCAGCAATGTTATTTGCATATAGATTTTTATACATGTATATACACACACATATAAATTATATATATATATACACACACACATATGTTTACATATATATATACATACAAATGAGAATGATTTTTAAGGAACTGAGTATCAGGCCCAAAAGGATAGTGGTCACTGATGTGTAAGAAGCAAACAAGTTGAGTCTAACAATTACCTCGGTTTCCTGCTTCAATTGAGACAGTTTCCAGACCCCAAAAAGGGGGAAAAAAAGATATCCATATTGGATGGGAAGAAGTGAAGCTGACTTTAGTCACAGATGACATGATCATCTATATAGAAAATCTGACAGAATCTACAAAAACAAAAACAAAAAAAAGACTATTAGAACTGAGTGACTTTAGCAGGTCTGTAATGATCAATTATATATCTATATAGTAGCAGTAAAATATCAGAAGTTTTACATTTAAAAAATACATCATTGTCAATAGCATAAAAATATGAAATATTTAGTGATGAATCTGAAAATTCTGTGAAATATCTACACACTGAAAAATGGTAAAACATTGCTGAAAGATCTTTAAGAAAATCTGAGTAAATGGTGAGATTACTATAATCATATGCTGGACAACTCAATCCCCAATATTAAAGATCTTCTCCCCAAATTTATGGATACATTCAATGCTATCCCAGTCAAAATGCCTGCAGAAATTTTTTAAATAAATTGACAAACTGATTCAAAAATTCCTATGCAAAGGCAAAGGATCTAAATTAGCCAAAACAACTTCTAAAAAGAACAAAGTTAGACAGCTTCCAGTATCTGATTTCATCTGATTTCAAGACCTATTAGAAATTACATTAATCAAAACAGTTGTATTGGTATGAAGACAGACAATAAGCTCAATGGTACAGATTAGAATCCAAAGATACAAGGAGATGAATATATATATATATATATACACATATATGTATTATTTTTAATACAAATGCAAAGGCTATTCTGTCAAGAAGAGTAGTCTTTTCAACAAATGGTGCTAGATTTGGATATGCTTGTGAAAAAAATAAATAAGAAACAACTTTCAATCTGTTTTTGTTCCATAAACAAGAATTAACTCTAAATGGACCATAGACCTACATGTAAAATCTAAAACTATGCAATTTATAGAAGAAAACATAGGAGAAAACCTTCATGACCTTGAGCTAGTGAAGGTTTCCTGGGATCCAGCATGAAAAGCACAATCTACAGAAGAATGAAGTGGATTGAGGACAGGAGGATCCACTCTGCTGATGACATCATTACCAGATGGTCATTTAGGTTTGGTGAGAAACGGAAGAGTTTGATTAAAGTTCCTATGAAGATCTGTGAAAAAACTCGACTCATGTAGGTTTTCTGAAATTCCTTGGAGACTGAAAGGCCATATCTGAAAAGATCAGTTCCATTTTAGTTCCTTTTTTTTTAAGACCCAATCTAAATCTTCCTTTTTGTTTTGTTCTGTCTTAGCATTTGCCACCACCAGCCCTCCTCCTCCCCCTTAGACTTCTTTCTCTGCCTTTTGAGAATTGGGGAACTACTGCTCAGACTTTGCAAACTTCCTCTGGCCTCCAATACCCTGCGCCACCATTTTTACATAAGCACTGTGCAACCACAGATGAGATATTAAGACTCTTTATGTCTCAGTTTATAATAAAGCTTTTGGGGGACCCAGTCTATAAGATCTATTTAGCTTTGAGCCCCTTATTCTATGCTTTCCAAGAAGAATGATTTAACAATAAAACAGCATGAACAAGATTTTTTTTCTGCTTTGACAGTAGATTGTACCCAAGAATAGGAGTGATTATACCCAAGAATAGGAGTGATTATACCCAAGAATAGGTGTGATAAGTGTTAATGCCCAGATGAATAATTCATAAACTACATTGGAATGAAGCTACATTGGATTTAGACAAATTCTGGGGTGTCTGTTAAATAGCCACTCATATTTCCTCTTGGCTCATGCTTTCTTTCATTCATCAAACTAATATTTGCTAACCACTTACTATGTCCCAGGTACTTTTCTGGATATTAAGATGCAGGGTTCACATTCTGGCAAGTAAGACCAACAAAATTTTTCCCACTACAGTGTCTGTACACCTCTGTGGCTTCTTCATGGGACAGCCTTCCCCTCCTCTCTTCATCTAGCCAACTTCTATTCTTCATTCAAAAAACCCAAATGTGACTTCTATAGAGAAAACTTGCCTCCCATGAACTGAATGAAGTCCTCCCATTACTTATTTTCTTGTGTCTCTCTATTCTTTTTCCTTCCCAGCCCTTAACAAAATCTAAGACCATTTTATTTCTCATTGCATTTCTCAACACACGTGGCACAGTCCTTGAAAGGAGCAGTTGCTTAACCCACATATAAACATTACTATGTGTAAAACAGATAGCTAGTGGGAAGCTACTGCATAGCATAGGAAGCTCAGCTCGGTGCTGTATGGTAACCTAGATGGGTGGAATGGGGGCAGCGGAGGGAGGTTCAAGAGGGAGAAGATATATGTACACACATAGCTAATTCTCACCATAGTACAGCAGAAACTAACAAAGCAATTTAATAAAATTGCTTTGATGCAAAGCAATTGTACTCTAATAAAAAAAGCAAATAATAATAAATAATAAAGCTAAAATCATCATAACAACACTTAAAAAATACCTGTAAGCTAACTGAATGAACCAATGAACAGATAAAGGGCACATAAATGGATGGGAAGAAGGAGGTTGGAATGGCCTTCTAGAATTATTAGGTCTTTAGCATGGTCAGGATTTAGGTAGGTGAAAGGTGAAGAAAATGGACAAGCAGATGTCTCATCTCCAGTTCATGGTATCTTATCTGGGAAACAGCCTCCTAACAGGTCTCAAAATTTCTGGTCTCTTTATTTTTTCAGGCTAAGAGTTATCACACTACAAAGTCAGCTATATGACATCATTTAACATCTCTAAAATGCAGTGGACGCCCTACTGAAAAACAGTCAAATTCTCCTGTTTGGCACTACTCCCTCCCCCCAAACGATCTGGCTTTCAACCCTTTGTCTGTAATGTATTTCCCAGTAAATCCACCCACTTACTTTACAAAGCAATCATAATGAAGAGGCCATCCCCCACTGACCAGATACATATCCTGCCCTTTCCAATTTCTCCACTATGCACTTTCCCCCATTCTCCCTCTGCTGAAGTTGTCATCTGATTCAAGTGTGACTCAAATGCCATCTTCCCTAAGGAAGCTTCTATGGCAAAGCACCCTCCCTCCTCTGAAAGAATCTCTCCTCCCTTTCTGCATCCACTCCACATGCTTATACTTCCTTCTTGTGCACCTAAGTTGTTCTGCTTCACACCACGGTTCCTATCTACATATCTTTCAGTAGCTGATGAACTCTTCTAGATCAGAGGCACCTCCAGAACTGCTCCCCACATAAGGTAAACACTCAGTAGATGTTTGTTGGACTAAATGGCCTGATATATCTACCCAGGGATCCCTTTCTACTGTCCCTTGCTTCCGATGGTGGGTCACTAGGAGAGCATTAAGATACAGTCTTCTTAAAAATCAGATTTTAGTCTTCCCCCAACTCTGCTAATTTACTTATTCAGATGTTTATTGAACACCTATCATATTTTAGACACTTTTCTAGTTACTGCAGATACCAAAGAATAGAAAATATTTCCATCCTCAAAGCACTTATATTTAAGTGAGTAGAAGACTCAGTATACTATGAAGTACATAAGATGGTGAAAAATACTATAGAAAAATATAAAGTACAAAGGGGGATAGAGAATACATTGCCTCCCAGAGGTAAGGTGATATTTTAAGGAGTGTTCCTACGAGTCCTCTAATAAAAGGTGACTATGAAGCAGACTCTGCTTCTGTTAGGTCCAGAACATTTCTGTCCTTTATTGTGCCCATCTTTGCATGAAATGTTCCCTTGGTATCTCTAATTTTCTTGAAGATATCTCCAGTCTTTCCCATTCTGTTGTTTTCCTCTAGTCCTTTGCATTGATCACTGAGGAAGGCTTTCTTATCTCTCCTGGCTATTCTTTGGAACTCTGCATTCAAATGGGAATATCTTTCCTTTTCTCCTTTGCTTTTCACTTCTCTTCTTTTCACAGCTATTTGTAAGGCCTCCTCAGACAGCCATTTTGCTTTTTTGCATTTCTTTTCCATGGGGATGGTCTTGATCACTGCCTCCTGTACGATGTCATGAACCTGCTTTTTTGCATTTCTTTTCCATGGGGATGGTCTTGATCCCTATCTCTTATACAATGTCACGAACCTCCATCTAGGCCCCATCTGGGGCCTAGGCACTAGATATTCCTTTGTCTGGTGTGCCTCACACTCTCCTATTTGCCTGCTCTTTTATTTTCTTAGAGTTTGCTCCATCAGTTCAGTTCAGTCGCTCAGTCGTGCCAACTCTCTGCAACCCCATGAATCGCAGCACGCCAGGCCTCCCTGTCCATCACCAACTCCCGGAGTTTACTCAAACTCATATCCATTGAGTTGGTGATGCCATCCAGCCATCTCATCCTCTGTCATCCCCTTCTCCTCCTGCCCCCAATGCCTCCCAGCATCAGGGTCTTTTCCAATGAGTCAACACTTCTCATGAGGTGGCCAAAGTATTGGAGTTTCAGCTTCAACATCAGTCCTTCCAATGAACACCCAGCACTGGTCTCATATAGGATGGACTGGTTGGATCTCCTTGCAGTCCAAGGGACTCTCAAGAGTTTTCTCCAACACCATAGTTCAAAAGCATCAATTCTTCAGCGTTCAGCTTTCTTCACAGTCCAGCTCTCACATCTGTACATGACCACTGGAAAAGTCATAGCCTTGACTAGATGGATCTTTGTTGGAAAAGCAATGTCTCTGCTTTCTAATATGCTATCTAGGTTGGTCATAACTTTCCTTCCAAGGAGTAAGCATTTTTTAATTTCATGGCTTCAATCACCATCTGTAGTGATTCATCAGGCACTCTATCAGATCTAGTCCCTTAAATCTATTTCTCACTTCCACTGTATAGTCATAAGGGATTTGATTTAGGTCATACCTGAATGGCCTAGTGGTTTTCCCTACTTTCTTCAATTTAAGTCTGAATTTGGCAATAAGTAGTTCATGATCTGAGCCACAACCAGCTCTGGTCTTGTTTTTGCTGACTGTATAAAGCTTCTCCATCTTTGGCTGCAAAGAATATAATCAATCTGATTTCACTGTTGACCATCTGGTGATGTCCATGTGTAGAGTCTTCTCTTGTGTTGTTGGAAGAGCATGTTTGCTATGACTAGTGGGTTCTCCTGGCAAAACTCTATTAGCCTTTGCCCTGCTTCATTCTGTACTCCAAGGCCAAATTTGCCTGTTACCCCAGGTGTTTCTTGACTTCCTAGTTCTGCATTCCAGTCCCCTATGATGAAAAGAACATCTTTTGGGGGTGTTAGTTCTTAAAGGTCTTGTAGGTCTTCATAGAACTGTTCTATTTCAGCTTCTTCAGTGTTACTGGTTGGAAGCAAAAGATATTAATAAGAAGTGGCAAGAGTACATCAAAGAATTATACAAAAAAAGATCTTCATGACCCAGATAATCACATTGGTGTGATCACTCACCTAGAGCCAGACATCATGGAATTTGAAGTCAAGTATGCCTTAGAAAGCATCACTACAAACAAAGCTAGTGGAGGTGATGGAATTCCAGTTGAGTTATTTCAAATCCTGAAAGATGATGCTGTGAAAGTGCTGCACTCAATATGCCAGCAAATTTGGAAAACAGCAATGGCCACAGGACTGGAAGAGGTCAGTTTTCATTCCAATCCCTAAGAAAGGCAATGCCAAAGAATGTACAAACTACCACACATTTGCACTCTCTCACACACTAGTAAAGTAAATGCTCAAAATTCTCCAGCCAGGCTTCAGCAATACATGAACCATGAACTTCCAGATGTTCAAGCTGGTTTTAGAAAAGGCAGAGGAACCAGAGATCAAATTGCCAACATCCGCTGGATCATAAAAAAAAAACAAGAGAGTTCCAGAAAAACATCTATTTCTGCTTTATTGACTATACCAAAGCCTTTGGCTGTGTGGATCACAATAAACTGTGGAAAATTCTGAAAGAGATGGGAATAGCAGACCACCTGACCTGCCTCCTGAGAAACCTATATGCAGGTCAAGAAGCAACAGTTAGAACTGGACATGGAACAACAGACTGGTCCCAAATAGGAAAAGGAGTACATCAAGGCTATATATTGTCACCCTGCTTATTTAACTTATATGCAGAGTGCATTATGAGAAACGCTGGACTGGAAGAAGCAGAAGCTGGAATCAAGATTGCCGGGAGAATTATCAATAACCTCAGATATGCAGATGACACCATCCTTACGGCAGAAAGTGAAGAGGAACTAAAAAGCCTCTTGATGAAAGTGAAAGAGGAAAGTGAAAAAGTTGGCTTAAAGTTCAACATTCAGAAAACTAAGATCATGGCATCTGGTCCCATCACTTCATGGGAAATAGATGGGGAGACAGTGGAAACAGTGTCAGACTTTATTGTTTTGGGCTCCAAAATCACTACAGATGGTGATTGCAGCCATGAAATTAAAAAATGCTTACTCCTTGGAAGGAAAGTTATGACCAACCTAGATAGCATATTAGAAAGCAGAGACATTACTTTTCCAACAAAGATCCATCTAGTCAAGGCTATGACTTTTCCAGTGGTCATGTACGGATGTGAGAGCTGGACTGTGAAGAAAGCTGAACGCTGAAGAATTGATGCTTTTGAACTATGGTGTTGGAGAAAACTCTTGAGAGTCCCTTGGACTGCAAAGAGATCCAACCAGTCCATCCTATATGAGACCAGTGCTGGGTGTTCATTGGAAGGACTGATGTTGAAGCTGAAACTCCAATACTTTGGCCACCTCATGAGAAGTGTTGACTCATTGGAAAAGACCCTGATGCTGGGAGGCATTGGGGGCGGGAGGAGAAGGGGATGACAGAGGATGAGATGGCTGGATGGCATCACCAACTCAATGGATATGAGTTTGAGTAAACTCCGGGAGTTGGTGATGGACAGGGAGGCCTGGCGTGCTGTGATTCATGGGGTTGCAGAGAGTTGGCACGACTGAGTGACTGAACTGAACTGATGGAGCAAACTCTAAGAAAATAAAAGAGCAGGCAAATAGGAGAGTGTGAGGCACACCAGACAAAGGAATATATAGTGCCTAGGCCCCAAAGTGGCACCAATGGCAACAATCCAATTTAGAGAAAATGACAACCTGTTCTGCAATGGTGTATTTAGCATCAAGTCTGAGACCAGTGTGGGTAGAAGAGCATAAATGGAGGGACAGAATGCAAGTGGATAAAGAGGAAATGGGACGTGAGAACACATGGAGCCTAAGGGGTCATAATAAGGACTTAGACCTTCCCTGTCTGTGAAATAGGAATCCGTTGGAAGGTTTTGAACAGCAAAATGAGATCAACTAATATGTGTTTTAAATGTGTAATGTTTGGTTGTGGTGTTGAGGAGACATCATAGGGGAGTGGGAATAGAAACAGACAGAGACCAATGTGTCCAATAACCTAGAAATGAAGGAGGCTCCAGACAGAGTGCTGCAGATGTAGGCTAAGAGGTGGACCAGGTCAGCCACCACTTGCTATTGTCTGTCATTTTGATATAGTAGCGACCCTAATGCCTGTGAGGTGATAATCTCACTGTGAAGACTGTGAGAGAAACAGAGCGTGTGGAAGAACAAGTGTTCAAGGTTTCAGCTGTGGGCCATTGAAGTCTGAAATGATTTTATCATCCAGGTAAGATGTCAAGTTGGCAGTTAGATAGAAGAGTCTGGAGTTCACAGAAGAAGCCAGAGCTAAAAATATAAATTTGGGACATATCAACCTAATGATATGATTTCAACTTACAATTTCATCAAGGGGGATAGTAAAGACAGATAAGAGAGAGGGCCTGGGGCTAAACCTGATCTTAAGGGGTCCAAGAATTTATGAGGAACCAGTACAAAGAAAAAGTGGCCAGCAAGCTAGGAGAAAAACCAACATGGGTAGTGTATAAATAAGTGATGAAGGAATCACTTATGCCAATTGTTGGGCCAAATTAAATGTGCACAATTGACCATCAGTTCTAACAATGTAGAAACTGGTGGTCTGAGCAAGGTTTTGTGAACAGTTGCACACAGGCTTGATTAGAGGAAGGTCCTTGGGCAAATGGAAGGAATGGAAGTAGTGACCGAGTGTAGACAGGGCCACTATGTGTCTTTGTTATCGCAATCCCAGTCTGCACCTGCAGGCGCGTGTTATGGCCTGGTCAAAAGTGTCCCAGTCTGGATGGTAAATCATGTGACAAAACAATCTTAAGTACAGACAGCTCTGTCTAGGTTTCTGTTAACACACTGTACTCATTCATCCATATAACAGTGCACTTTCCCCTTTCTAATTTTCCTGATGTAAATAAATCTCAAATCTCTCCCAGACCAGAGATCAAAGGCCTGGATAACTCTCCCTAAGGTAATAATTTTCAATATGATGCTTGTGGCCACACAAAAGGACCAGGGCCCTAACCTCAACAATTTTAAATTCCATTAACCTGACATATAGCCTGGGCTTATATCTCCTCCAGGAGATTCTAATGTGTAGCCAGGGATGGGGACCACTGCCCTGATTAATGAAAAAGCAAGCTGGTGAGTCTGACGGAGGTTATTACACAACCCTTTTCAGCTATCTCTCCAGGATCTTCCTCGCTGTCCATCCCACAGTCAATGCTTTGGTTCATGTGGTCATTTTCTCTCCTTGGACTATTGATGTTGCTCTCTAGATAGTTCTTCTGCCTCTGGGCTTACCTCCTTTGATTCATTTCCTCTTATATTACCAACCTATTCCTTTGAACTGACTGTGTTTCTTTTAAAACTTCTGATGTCACTTTATTGACTTCAGATTAAAGTTCAAATTTCTTGTGATGTTATTCAGAGTCATATGAGTACTCCACAGTCATGTCGGAGTCAAACCACTGGGCAAACAGAGACATACAGAGAAGGAGTGACAGAACCAACAACATGGGTGCAGACGGGGAGCTTTTAAAATCCCATCAGATCTTTAGGAATGGTACCAGAGGGACGGGAGGGAAAGTTGGGAAGCATAAACTGGGAGACTGGGGTTGACATATGCACCCTATTATATATAAAACAGTGATTCCTAGGTGGCTCAGTGGTAAAGAATCCACCTGCAAATGCAGGAGACGCAAGTTTGATCCCAGGGTCAGGACCCTGGAGAAGGAAATGGCAACCCATTCTAGTTTTCTTACCTGGAAAATCCCATGGACAGAGCTACAGTCTGTGGAGTTGCAAAAGAATCGGACACACCTTCACGACTAAACATTATATAAAGTACTTAACTAATAAGGACCTACCATATAGCACATGGAACTCTATTCAATTTTGTGTAATAACTAAAAAGGGGAAAGAATCTTAAAAAGAGTAGATATATGTATATGCATAACTGATTCACTTTGCTATACACCTGAAATTAGCACAACATTGTAAATCAACTATACTCCAATAAAAAATATTTTTAAAAGAATGTATGAATCTATAAATGGTAAGAAATTTCCCACTAGACATATTCTTGAGCACATTTTGCTTGTACAAACCTCAGTCCGACATGAGTTGAGAGAGGAGAGGAAAAGTGGGGAGTGAGATTCTTCATCTCACTTGTGTTCACTCCATCTTTACCCTACATCCCCTGGGAAATTATATTCATTCCTCAAACAAGTCATGTTCTTTCACCTCCAGGATTTAACACATATTGTATCCTCCTCCTGGATTACACTGTATCTCCCTTCTTTAAGTAGCTAATTTCTACTCATCCCTGAGATCTCAGCTACATGATGAATTCCTCTGACAAAATTGGCCTTACACCTGTCATCCTCTGCTTCACCAGCTTCACTAAGTCTGGACTGAGGGTGTTTCCCGCAGTATCCCATACTATCCTGGACTTCCTTCACCATGGCCCTTCTCTCACTGTATTGTAATTGTCACTTTAAATGTCTGTTTTTCCCACTAGACTACCAAGGCCATATCTATTTCAAGGTTCAATAATTCTGTGCTAAATGAACACTAATATGAATTCAGTCTAACGGGCTGGTAGAAAAATGGATACGTAAAACAAGTACTCACAACTTGCAGATGCAGAACTCTCCTTTGCAATTTGACAGCCTCAAGGATGTCCTACCGAACCCTGGTCTTGCTTCGCCCCACCCCCACTGTGGACATGTGCTTCCCATTGGCCTCAGTGTCCGTGACATGAGTCATGCTGAAAGCACATTGGAAACCCTCATCTTTATAGCTCTTTTCTGAGAAAATTACCCAATCTGGCACTCCTTCTGGCCCCAAGGCCACTTGACAGATCCCAATGAGCCAGGCCAGATGGGAGGGGGGAAGAACTCCACCATCAACTTGTTCTGGAAAATGTTGGCTTTGGGGTGCTGCAGGTCCTCTTTTGTGCATTGCCTAGCATCAGAGGGAGGTGTTCTCTGCCAGGCCAAGGTAGTGAGGTCTCTGTGTTCCTGGCTGAGGCCCCCAAGTCAGTTCTGTCTCCACCGCAGAGCTCCCTGCCAGGTGAAGTGTCACAGCTGTGGAATCAGAGAAGTTGTGCAAGAGGAGAAAGAAAAGTTTTCCAACTCAGCAAAAGAACAAGTTTTGGAGAGAGAGAGCTGGGGGAGAGTGGGAGTCCAAAGCAAGGCTGAGAATCATGAAATAAAGTCCACGTGGCAGAAACTAAGAATCTTAGCAACTGCAGTAACTAGAGGGAAGTAAATGAGCAGAAAGTTAAAGGGAAGAATGAATGTGGTCAGGAAAACACAAGGAATTTCACTGCTTTCTTACAGCCCGAAGTTTGTTGCAAAGCATTCTAGAGTCATGTATGTATACTCAGTCACTTCAGTCCTGTCTAATTCTCTGTGACCCTGTGGACCAGGGCCCGCCTGGCTCCTCTGTCCATGGAATTCTCCACCCAAGAATATCGGAGTGGGTTGCCGTGCCCTTCTCCAGGGAATCTTCTGAACCCAGGATGAGAAGATGAGACTCTGGACCAAATCTGAGTTTCTTACAACTCCTGCAGTGGGAGGAGGATTCTTTACCACTAGCACCACCTGGGAAACCCTCTACAGCGTGAAGTCTTATATTAATTAACTCATCAAGCATTTGCAGATACTTTGTACTTAACCCCCTTGATCTGCACAACTCCCTAGCTTCTATTATTGTTCCTTTTTATGAGCAAGAATAATGAATTTCAATGAGATTCATAAGTGACCAAGAAAAACTTCATGCCCAGGACCTGTCTGATCACAGGCCTGGATGGTAACCCACCCCAAACCACCTTACACGCTGGGCAACCCTGAGGAAAGTCATGCTCTCTGATCTTATCTATAAAATGAGAATGCTATAACCACTGAGATAATCTACAGGAAAAGATTTCTTCAATAGTAAAGCACGATGCAAATGTGAGTTACATGTACTGGTTTGTTCACTGGCTTGTTCCTTTATACTCTATTTCATTTCGCAATAAGGCCAAAGTGAGACCACACACAGGGAAATAATATTGCACAGTCATCCACATATCAGTGCCAAAGAGAGTAAATTATCCATTTGTCAGATCTTCACGAAGGAAGACTCTGCAGGCACAAACAAACCTTGTGGACACCAGTCTCACATTCATAAAAGCAATTACCTCGACATGTCCTTACTAAACCCCTGTGTGTGCATGCTCAATCATTCTGTCACCTCAGACTCTTTGCAATCCCATGGACTGTAACCCACCAGGCTCCTCTGTCCATGGGATTTCCCAGGCAAGAATACTGGAGTGGGTTGCCATTTCCTTCTCCAGGGGATCTTCCCGACCCAAGGATTGAACCCCTGTCTCCTGCAGCTCTTGCATTGGCAGGTGGATTCTGTACTAGACCAAATCTGGAGGCAGTATACAAATGTGAATAAAACAAGTCCTTGCCCCCAGGATCTCACAGTCTAGAAGAGACAGCAGAATAATAAAGATGACATTTTAAGAGTGTGCTCAAGAAATTCCCTGGTGGTCCAGGGGTTATGATTTCCACCTTCCAATGCAGGTGACACAGGTTCGATCCCTGGTCAGGGAACTAGAGCCTATGTGCCACAACAAAGGTTCCTGCATGCCACAACCAAGATCTGATACAGTGAAATAAATAAATATTTTTCTGAAAATGTAAAAAAGACTGTGCTCAGCACAACAGGAAAGCAAAAGACATCAAGTTGTAAGCTTGGAGAATGTGACAGAGGCACTTAACCCAGGAAAGTGCTTCTGGAGGCAGGAACTACTGAGCTGTTCCCCGAAATGGACTGGAGTCTACCAGGCAAAGCTTAGGGATGAACAAGAAGTAGACTGTTCATACACAGGGATGGGAGGGTGTGTGAGTTGGCAGTGTTGTGGGTCTGCAAATAATTGGCCTGCCTGAAGCTTCGAGTTGCAGGGGCGGACGGGATGTGTAGGAAGAAGCTCCCGGAACAAAAATAACTTCCTTGGCTCTGCTCGTGGGCGTCCTCACTCCACGGCACAGTGAGACATCCAGGAGGCTGCTGGAGCCCTCCAGAACCTTCCGCCTTACTCGGATACATCAGCTTCCTAATTGCTCCAATAAGTAAACCAGGCCTCAGCCACCTCTTACCTAAACCACATCTCTCATCCCTCATAAGCAAAGACAAGTTGCCCAAAGCCTGAACAGGATATGTCTATTTCCCTTCGCTGAGTTGTAATGGTTCAGACCTTGGGTTCTGGAGTCAGACTGGCCCACCTTGCAAGCCTGTCACGGCTGCTTCCTTACTAAATAACATTGGAAAAATAATTTATTTTCTCATATCTCAGTTTCCTCATCTGTAAAGACAGTCAATATTATCACCTGCCACATAGGGTTTCTGTGAGAATTAAATGAGATACTACAAATAAACAATAAGAACAATGCCTCCCACATAGCAGTCATTCAGTAAGTGTTAATTATTATCATTATTATGATAATTACCTGAAACGTCAACTTCTACAACCCCAGTCACTTTACTTTGAATTATAATTCTTTCCAGTAACTGGGGAAATGTGCATCAAGAGAGAGAATGAGGGAACATGTGCATAAGAATCATTGATTAATATGGGAGAAAGAACACAAATACCCAGACCACAGAGTCTCACATGGCTGGGATGGTTTCGTTTCAAGTTTGACGTCCAGTTTCCTGGCAGGCAAAGCAGAAGGGAGAACCAATTTGTAATTACTTTCCCAGGACAGTTCCAAAAAAGTGCCTTCCTCCAGCTTCACGGAGGAGACGAGACGTGACGTGACGTAGTGAGCATGCCCACAGTGGGGTCCGGGTCGGTCTGTCGGAGCTGCCATAGGAGAGAGTCACAGGCTGGGCGACTTAAGCAACAGACATTTATTTTCTCAAAAAAAAAAAGGAAAATTTATTTTCTCACAGTTCTGGAGGCTAGAAGCCAGAGATCAAGGTATTGGCAGAGTTTCTTGTTCTGCTTTGTTGGGTTTTTGTTGTTGCTGTTATTGGCTTATAAATGGCTTTTATCTCTTTTTAATCTTGTCTTCACATGGTCTTTCCTGTGTGTGTCTGTGTCCTAATCTCGCCTTATAAAAAACACCAGTCATATAGAACAAGAGCCCACCCATATGATCTCATTTTACCTCAATTACCTGTCAACTACAAATGGGCATTTGCCAGGAGAATTGCCAGTGACTCAGCAACAACATAAAGGGCATTTGCCCTCTGCCTGTGTGGAGACTGAACCCCGCACTGATGCAGCTGTTGACCTTCAACAGTTCCCCCCAAGGGGGTTCAGGGACCCTGGTGGGACAGGCCTTTAGATAGCTGGATATTTTCAGGAACAGATTTCATGATTCTAATCTTTGCATCTCTTCATATCTAGAAGAGCACTAAATCCCTGCATGGTGACATCAGCTCCTTGTGACTAGCACAAAGTCTTTTGTAAAATAAGCACTTGATTGCTTTGAACTCCCACTTCACCAAAATCTTATGTACTGACCTTCCCCAACTGCCTCTCTGGAGCAGCCTCTCAGAGCTATTTGCAGTGCTCCATCCTGGACTGCAGTCCTCATTTTGCCTCAAATAAAACTTAACTCACGACTCTCAAATTGTGCATCTTTTTTTAGTTGACATCTCTTGAAAGTCTCTATTTCCAAATACAGTCACAGTCTGAGGTATTGAGGGTTAGAACTTCAACATATAAGTTGGGGATGGGAACATACAAGTTAACCCATGACAATGTCCCTGAGGCAGATCAGGGAGGGGAAAACGCAGCTTGACTCCACGAGTCTCCCTGACACTGCAGTCCTCTGACCTTCTGATGGCCCTGCTGATTTCACAAGAGAACCAGGAGAGTCCAGAGGGGTGAATGGACTACTTACATTCCAAAGATCTGGGGGGAAGATCATGCCCCTCAACCAGTACTAGAAGGTGAAGGTGGGGCTAGAGAAATAGAGACCCTACTTCACACTATGAGCCTGGAGTGTGTTCAGTATTAGTTTGCTGGGTAAGGAACCTTTAAAAAGGTAATATTGCTTTAAGGCATGATGCTCTAGCAGTGGTGTGTGGCTAAGAGAAAATGGGAAAGCAGTTAAGAGTGGGTTGGAAATACTTAAGCTAAGCCTGCAGATCTAAACTGGGCCATGTCAGTGGAGATAGATGCCAGGAGATGGATCTGCCTCATGCAACCTACTTCATGGTTATGGTTCAGAAAAGGTCTCCACTTGGTTAACAAGTGGAAAGAAGTGGTGAGGATGATGAATGGAGCAGGCTCGGAGGAGAGGATTCCAGTTTCCTATCAGGACAGGTCTGAGTTAAAGCCTCTGGAACAAGAGCCTATCTGCTCTGCGACTGCTGTGGACCCTGCCCTCCTGGAAATGAAGAGTGCACTTTACTGACAGTGTCTCTGCACCAGTCACAGAGTCGATCACTATTATTACATTTGATCATGTGATTCCAAAACTAGTTAGATAGTGTTTTCCGTGTATAGTAGTAGGGAAACTGAGGATCAGAGGAGTAAAGTGAGTCACGTGGTAAATGACAGAGGCAGAATTCAAACCAGTCTGATGACTTTAGTTAGTGTGACCTTAACCAATATACAGTCAGTGCCCCCTCACATTACTGGGTGCTCTAGGATCAACTGAGATTTCAGAGATT